CACGGCCACGGCCACACGTGGGAGCAGAGCCACGCCGCCCAAGGCCACAGGGGCCACTGCTGGTCACAGGGCTCCAGGCGGGAGGACGGGGTGGCAGGGCCCTTCCCCCTCAGGTCCTGGTGCAGGACAGTCCCCCGGCCACACTCTGGGCTCCTGGGGCTGGGACAGGACAGGTCTCCCATAGGCCAGCGGGGCCCCAACCCAGAGCCAGCGGTCAGCGTACCCCCTGCACCCTCCCTCCTTCCTGGGAGCCCTGCCCTGCCTCCCAGCTCTGAACCCCTGAACCCCACCCTCTGTAGGTGCCACCTGGAGCCGGTCAGGGAGGCCCTGAGGGTCTCAAGGGAGCCGGTCAAACGCCCTCCTCTCTGAAGTCAGAGCTCAGACAGCCGTTCGGTGAAGACGGGGCACGCGCCCCACAGCCCAGCCCCAGGACACCCAGCCCAACACACTCCCCGCCCAGCACAGCCCAGCCTCAGAGGCGGAACCCCAATCCTCATGTCCCCCACAGGCCTCCCAGCCACCGCCCCACCCAGCCGGTCCTGTCCCCTCCACACCCGCTGAGCCCAGAGCTGGGAAACCGAGGCAAAGACCGGAATCTGCACTGGCCACTCCTGCCTCCTGCCAGGACCGTCCCAGCCCCTCCCGGGGACCCCAGCCCCACGCCCCCACGCGGGCGGAGGGAGAAGCCGCAGGCACAGACGGGCGGCAGGTCGAGTTGCAGGGCCAGCGACCTTCACAAACCCTCCTTCTTCCCCTTCAATATTTCATGAGCTGTGGCCGCCTCTTCTTCCAGCACCACCACAAAAAGTAAATTACCAACTCGCACGTTACGGCCAGGGGCAGAGTTCAGCCCGATTCTGTCGGTGCTGAGCCAACCCGGCCGACACAGGGAGACGCCCACAGAGCTGCTGACCCGAGTCCCGGGCTCACGGCGGGTCGAGGATCAGTTCTTGGCCTGGGGGCACCAGGCCAGACATGGGCCTGCCCCGCACCTGCCCTGGGGACGGGCAGTGACAGGGGCGGCCTTCCCCGAGGGGGGGGGTGGCCGGCAGGGGGGCGTGACTACGGAGACATAAAAAGGTCCCTCTCTGTGTCTCAGGCTCCCCTCTCAGGTCTGGCTAACGTTCGTTTCCAGGTGGAGGTTAAATGAGGCACCACCCATGCATGTGGCTGGGGGCCTGCACCCGTCAGCTCAGATGGTGCCTGCGATCAGGGCCGATTCCGTCCTGTGCGTCCCGACGCCGGCCACACCCATCGCCCAGAAAAGACGGCCCCTGAGCCATAGACCACACGTGTGGCTGACACCCCCAGGGGCTGTGGGCAGGGGGTGACATCTGCAGGGCACCCCCCACCCTGTGGTGGCCAAGCTGTGGCCCGAAGGCCCGTGGGGGGACTAGTGGCCACACTCACAGGAAGCTGCTCTCAGGAGCCCGGGAATCACTGGATGGGGGGCCCAGGATTCGGGCTCTAAAATCCACACAGTCAGTGACCCTGGAATGGGACTTGGAGGTGCCTGCAAACAGGGGGGCCACGGGCAAGGGCAGAGGCCAAGAGGGGTCCTTCCTGTGTCCCCATGCGTGTGGCTGGGGGCCTGCACCCCTCAGCTCAGATGGTGCCTGCGATCAGGGCCGATTCCGTCCTGTGCTTCCCGATGCCGGCCACACCCATCGCCCAGAAAAGACGGCCCCTGAGCCATAGACCACGCGTGTGGCTGACGCCCCCAGGGGCTGTGGGCAGGGGGTGACATCTGCAGGGCTCTGGCTGAGCGTCCTCCTCCGGGTCTGCGGCCAGGAGGTCCCGTCTGTCCCCCAGCCCCTCCCCTGCAGGACACTTACTGAGACAGGGACGAGTCCAGGCTGAAATCCTCCACAGGAAGCCTGGGGACAGACGGGTGGACACGTCAACACGGGAGACGGACGGACGGACGAGGGCCTGGACCCCAGGCCAGGCGGAGGGCCCAGGATTCGGGGCCCCAAAAATCCACACGGTCAGTGACCCTGGAACGGGACTTGGAGGTGCCCGCAAACCAGGGGTCCATGGGCAAGGGCAGAGGCCAAGAGGGGTCCTTCCTGTGTCCATTCTCACTCACTCACTCCTTTCGTTGGCAGGAGGCCTGGCGGGGAGGCTGGGCACATCGGAGGCCTCAGCTGCCCACTGGCCACGACCAGGGCCCAGGTAGGTCTGGAGCAGGTGTGCAGTCCTGGCCTCAGCCCCACCCCCGGGCCCAGCACAGCCCGATTCTGTCGGTGCTGAGCCAACCCGGCCGACACAGGGAGACGCCCACAGAGCTGCTGACCCGAGTCCCGGGCTCACGGCGGGTCGAGGATCAGTTCTTGGCCTGGGGGCACCAGGCCAGACATGGGCCTGCCCCGCACCTGCCCGGCCAGCACCTGCCCTGGGGACGGGCAGTGACAGGGGCGGCCTTCCCCGAGGGTGGGGGTGCCTGGCAGGGGGTCTGTGACTACGGAGACATAAAAAGGTCCCTCTCTGTGTCTCAGGCTCCCCTCTCAGGTCTGGCTAACGTTCGTTTCCAGGTGGAGGTTAAATGAGGCACCACCCATGCATGTGGCTGGGGGCCTGCACCCGTCAGCTCAGATGGTGCCTGCGATCAGGGCCGATTCCGTCCTGTGCGTCCCGACGCCGGCCACACCCATCGCCCAGAAAAGACGGCCCCTGAGCCATAGACCACACGTGTGGCTGACACCCCCAGGGGCTGTGGGCAGGGGGTGACATCTGCAGGGCACCCCCCACCCTGTGGTGGCCAAGCTGTGGCCCGAAGGCCCGTGGGGGGACTAGTGGCCACACTCACAGGAAGCTGCTCTCAGGAGCCCGGGAATCACTGGATGGGGGGCCCAGGATTCGGGCTCTAAAATCCACACAGTCAGTGACCCTGGAATGGGACTTGGAGGTGCCTGCAAACAGGGGGGCCACGGGCAAGGGCAGAGGCCAAGAGGGGTCCTTCCTGTGTCCATTCTCACTCACTCACTCCTTTCGTTGGCAGGAGGCCTGGCGGGGAGGCTGGGCACATCGGAGGCCTCAGCTGCCCACTGGCCACGACCAGGGCCCAGGTAGGTCTGGAGCAGGTGTGCAGTCCTGGCCTCAGCCCCACCCCCGGGCCCAGCA